CAGTATGATGGCCAGTGTAGCACATATACATTAAGGGTGAATCAGATGACACTAATACAACTTTGCTGAACTTTATTCAAAATGAATACTTTATGCTGAATTGTTCACTCAAACTATTCTAGAAATTCTGCAGGATACATTGTAGCCATTTTAAAAGTGTTCTTGCCTATTTGACACTTTTATCCTAATCGCTTATTTACATTTTAGGAATAGCCTTTAATTTCCTTACTTCTCTAAAAGGTATGTGATTCAGTTTGGGCCAAGACACATTGTACAATAAGATAATGCATGAATTTCCATGGGGAGAGATGTCCTGGCCCACTGTGTGCATTAGGAGTAGCCTTGCATAGGGATTTTCCCTAGCTGTGTGGAGTATATTTTTAGGAAGGAGAGGAGGGATGGATGGACAGAGGCAGCTGGGGATAGAGGAGTGTGATTAATCAGTGACCTAGAATCATCATTGGCCTAGAATCCCTATACCAGCAGCTGCTCATGTGTAGGCCTACCTCTCCTTTCCACTTTGCAATACAGTCTAATAACAACACTGACAGAGACAGGATGCATGATGACAGGCTCTAAAAGATCAAGGCATTCTGTTGATGTTAGGGGTTTTATTGTGCCCGAGTATGTTCAAAACTCTTCATTACTTAACATAGGGAACACATTTTATTTTCTACAGTATTCAGGGCTGAGATCAGTGAAGTACAGTCGTGGTCAAAAGTTTTGAGAATGACACAAATATTAATTTTCACAAAGTCTGCTGCCTCAGTTTTTATGATGGCAATTTGCATATACTCCAGAATGTTATGAAGAGTGATCAGATGAATTGCAATTAATTGCAAAGTCCCTCTTTGCCATGAAAATGAGCTTGATTCCCAAAACTTTTCCACTGCATTTCAGCCCTGCCACAAAAGGACCAGCTGACATCATGTCAGTGATTCTCTCGTTAATACTGGTGAGAGTGTTGACGAGGACAAGGCTGGAGATCACTCTGTCATGCTGATTGAGTTAGAATAACAGACTGGAAGCTTTAAAAGGAAGGTGGTGCTTGAAATCATTGTTCTTCCTCTGTTAACTATGGTTACCTGCAAGGAAACACGTGCCGTCATCATTGCTTTAAACAAAAAGGGCTTCACAGGCAAGGATATTGCTGCTAGTAAGATTGCACCTAAATCAACCATTTATCGGATCATCAAGAACTTCAAGGAGAGGGGTTCAATTGTTGTGAAGAAAGCTTCAGGGCGCCCAAGAAAGTCCAGCAAGCGCCAGGACCGTCTCCTAAAGTTGATTCAGCTGCGGGATCGGGGCACCACCAGTGCAGAGCTTGCTCAGGAATGGCAGCAGGCAGGTGTGAGTGTATCTGCACGCACAGTGAGGCGAAGACTTTTGGAGGATGGCCTGGTGTCAAGAAGGGCAGCGAGGAAGCCACTTCTCTCCAGGAAAAACATCAGGGACAGACTGATATTCTGCAAAAGGTACAGGGATTGGACTGCTGAGGACTGGGGTAAAGTCATTTTCTCTGATGAATCCCCTTTCCAATTGTTTGGGGCATCCGGAAAAAAGCTTGTCCGGAGAAGACAAGGTGAGCACTACCATCAGTCCTGTGTCATGCCAACAGTAAAGCATCCTGAGACCATTCATGTGTGGGGTTGCTTCTCAGCCAAGGGAGTAGGCTCACTCACAATTTTGCCTAAGAACACAGCCATGAATAAAGAATGGTACCAACACATCCTCCGAGAGCAACTTCTCCCAACCATCCAAGAACAGTTTGATGACGAACAATGCCTTTTCCAGCATGATGGAGCACCTTGCCATAAGGTAAAAGTGATAACTAAGTGGCTCGGGGAACAAAACATCAACATTTTGGGTCCATGGCCAGGAAACTCCCCAGACCTTAATCCCATTGAGAACTTGTGGTCAATCCTCAAGAGGCGGGTGGACAAACAAAAACCCACAAATTCTGACCAACTCCTAGCATTGATTATGCAAGAATGGGATGCCATAAGTCAGGATGTGGCCCAGAAGTTAATTGACAGCATGCCAGGGCGGATTGCAGAGGTCTTGAAAAAGAAGAGTCAACACTGCAAATATTTACTCTTTGCATAAAGTTAATGTAATTGTCAATAAAAGCCTTTGACACTTATGGAATACTTAGTAACATCTGACAAAAATATCTAAAAACACTGAAGCAGCAAACTTTGTGAAGACCAATACCTGTGTCATTCTCAACTTTTGACCACGACTGTAGAGAGCTGGCTAGAGCTGAGATTTTCCTAACTCAACCCCACCTTGTTCTCGGATGTGCAAGTCATGACTTAACATAGCGTTTCCCAAACTCAGTCCTCAGGACCCCAAGGGGTGCATGTTTTGTTTTTTGCCCTAACACCACGCAGCTGATTCAAAGCTTGATGATTAGTTGATTATTTGAATCAGCTGTGTAGTGCTAGGGCAAAAACCAAAACGTGCACCCCTTGGGGTCCGAGGACTGAGTTTGGGAAACCCTGACTTAACATGTAATTTACTGTGACTCAAGCAGCAAACACTTCACTATCAATCAGTGTCTGAGAGACATAAGGCCACTGGCATTTGCACCCTTTAAGAGCAAATCACAAGAAGAAATTGAGATCAAAAGTTTTTGCATGCAGATTTCCCAGACAAAACCATTAAAAGTAGGTTATTTAAACTGGGTGATACTGGCCAACCACTTAAAATGGTCCCCAGACAGGCCCCTTGTTGTATCTAACAATATCCATTGCATCTGTGACCTATTTATAGAAATACATGGGCATTTCTAAAAGGAATGTAAAAGCTCTCACCCCTGTTTTAATGTTCTGTTGCTATATGAATAGTGAAATGAAATGGGAACTGACCACCAATGGTAATAAGATATCAAGACTGTTATTACGAAAATATATTGTGGCCTTGCGCTGTGGCCACAATATTAGGAAAAGAACCGTGGATTTTTATTTTTTATTTTACTTTTATTAAACTAGGCAAGTCAGTTAAGAACAAATTCTTATTTACAATGACAGCCTACACTGGGCCAATTGTGCGCCGCCCTATGGGACTCCCAATCACGACCGGTTGTGATACAGCCTGGAATCGAACCAGTGGGTCTGTAGTGACGCCTCAAGCACTGAGATGCAGTGCCTTAGACCACTGCGCCACTCGGGAGCCCAAATATGGATGTATGAGGGATGTAGGGGGCTTCCTGTTTTCAGTTAGTCATTTCCTGGTGGTTAGTGGATCTGTAAAGTAGCTTGCTTAAGGATATAGCTTTCATCTATTCCTGTAATTACCCTGTCACAAGTTACTATGTGCAGGTAAGCAGTACTTTACTCTCTGACCTTTTGTATGTTTTCTTTGAAGACAGAATCAAAATGAATAGTAGCAAGTACTATCTGACTGCATGTGTACTAATATACGTATTACACTGTGATTCCAGATGTTATTCCATTATGCTGGCATAATGTCTGTGTAATATATATGGAAGTGTGGCAGAGAATGGAGGGAACTATGTGGAGACAACAATAGGCCTGGCCAATTCTATATTGCTTGATGTTGACCTTGATAAAAATAGACATGCGTTGCCGTACAACTTTGAAAGTCACTGAGGGCAATGTTTATGTTTTACACTAAACATTATGGCAAGCTAGCAAGATAAATTACCTGGAATGCCCTGGTTGTATCCTTTTAATTAACCTTCATTTACCACACATATAAAGGGTGTTTCAAGTTTAAACATTACTTTTTAAATGTTTTATTCAAATTCTCTTTCAACCATTAAAGAAGTATAAATACTAGATGTTCAGGGCTAATTATTTTAGTAATGAATGCATGATGATGGTATTTGTAAATGTATTTGAATGTTTTACAGCTCCTGTGTTCTGGGCTCCTCCTCCTTGTCCCCCAGGAAGAGAACAGGGATCATTGCCTAATAAGACCATGTGTGACTGGAATGGTTTGTTTATACTGGCCAGACAGTGGGAGAGTAGTGATCTACATGAACCAAAACATGCAACAGCACAGCCACTGAACTTAAGTTAACCAATTGTATCCACATATAATACTAGTAAACTTCTTGTCTTCTGTGAGACGTAGTAGTTTGGCATAGTTAGAAACAAGATGCATACTTTGCCATGAGCCAGAAAAACATGAACTAAAGTACAGTTTCTGAAGCTGAAGGTCTTTCTGACTTAATTTTGGGAAACACAATATTTCAACTTTGCAATAACAGAATGGACCAAAAGCTGACATCTCTCAGGCATAACAAATGTTGCCATCTAGTGGTTTGAGTAAGTCAAAAAACCTTTCCAAACCAATATATTACAGCTGAGCTTGACCCATTAGCAGGCCAATGAAGTAGAGTTAAGAGACATAGTAATAAGACATATGTTACCAATGCATTTTTATTTTTGGGCAAAGATAAAATAAAATAAAATCAATATATAAACTGCACATACACAACAAACAAAACCGAGTAATACAGGCTTGTGTGTATGTGGCTACGTGTCTAAGACTACATTCAATCTTAAAATTGTAGGAGAAAATTACAAGGCATTTACAATCCTAAACCTTTGACATCAGACACTGCCACTTATACAGTCTTCAAATGTAACAATAAGTGTGATTGGATACCAATAAAATATGTTCAATTAATTGTAGGCATTGTGTACTTACATCCAAGTGTAGGTAACAAATGACACCAAATTCAAATGCCTCCAATTGTATCTGAAATATGGTTTTTCTTTTCAAGATGGGCACAATCAATCCCAAAAAATTAGCAAGGTCTTTTGAATATAAATGGTATAATTACAAAGTTGTTGTAGAAAATGTCAGCTCCTTGTGTGATGAAGACGGTTCAGATCAGAATGGTGCCAGTTTGAATATGCCCTGCTGCCAATAACCTAGGTGGGTACTATTATAATAAATAATATAAAGGCTATACAGAACAGGGAACAGTCTATATTATGTAAATATTGAGAAAAAGATTTGTAGGTTTATAAGGGAATGTGGAAAGACTCTTTGATCCATTGGTCACGAGAGTTTTGAGTTGGCTGGAGAGTCAGTGAAGTACCAGGTGGATCCCGAGGTACATTCTCAACATCGTTGTCCTCCTCTTCATCTTCCTCCTCTTCCTCAGAGTAACCATTTTCTGTAGTGAAGGTGCTCTCTGAAAGCAGAGAGGAGGAGATGTCCTGGAAGGCTCCTTTGTACTCCTGGATGGACTCATATAGAGACCACAGCTGACAGAGCAGAGACATGTCCAACTGCCTCAGGCCCACCTAGGTCAGACAACAGGAACAGATACTTGTGTCAATCATCTCATACATGAACTATAGCAACTTTGTTAATTGTGTAGAAGCAGCTATGATTCCACTTGGAAATGGACTATTGCATAATACTTCTAGTAGTTTTCTAGAATATTTGTGTTTGAAACGCAATTTATTTGCTTAGAATACCCAAAGAAAAAGCAGCAGTGACAAATGAAACAGTTACTGTATATGACAAACAGGGCCGTAGCCAGGGTCTGAGTTTTAGTGAGGTCCGAATGTGGGGGTATGACATTTTAAGAAAGTTAAAGCGCATTAACTTTATTTCTATAAAATGTTAAAACTCAAATGCTATTTGGACAACAGCAAAAACAAGCTAAATTACCCCAGCCATCATCACATTTGGTAGCTGTAGCTTCATTAAAGGGATACTTCAGGATTTTGGAAGCCCTTTATCTACTTTCCCAGAGTCAGATGAACTCGTAGATACCATTTTTATGTCTCTGCATCCAGCATGAAGAAAGTTAAAGGTAGTTTCGCAAGCCAATGCAAACTAGAGTTAGCGCAATGACTGGAAGTCTATGGTATCTACTAGCATGCTAGCAGTTACTATAGACTTCCAGTCATTGCGCTAAGGCTGGTTAGTAACTTCCTTCAAACTGCACGCAGAGACATAAAATAGTATCCACACGTTCATCTGACTCTGATGAAGTAGATAAAGGGCTTCATTGCCAAAATCCTGATGTATCCCTTTAACCGCAGTCGATCTACAAACACAGCCTATTAGCTAAACAGTTAGCCGCCACACATTAACTCACATTTACTCAGCACCAGGATACAAAACTATAATTTAATACATACAGCGGGACCTACACTACCATTCAAAAGTTTGGACACACCTACTCATTCAAGGGTTTTTCTTTATTTGTACAATTTTTTACATTGTAGAATAATAGTGAAGACATCAAAACTATGAAATAACACATATGGAATCAGTGTTGAACAAATCAAAATATATGTAATATTTGAGATTCTTCAAATAGCCACCCTTTGCGTTGATGACAGCTTTGCACACTCTTGGCATTCTCTCAACCAGCTTCATGAGGTAGTCACCTGGAATGCATTTCAATTAACAGGTGTGCCTTCTTAAAAGTTAAAAGTGGAATTTCTTTCCTTCTTAATATTGAGCCAATCAGTTGTGTTGTGACAAGGTAGGGGGGGTGTACAGAAGATAGCCCTATTTGGTAAAAGACCAAGTCCATATTATGGCAAGAACAGCTCAAATAAGCAAAGAGAAACGACAGTCCATCATTACTTTAAGACATGAAGGTCAGTCAATACGGAACATTTCAAGAACTTTGAACGTTTCTTCAAGTGCAGTCGCAAAAACCATCAAGCGCTATGATGAAACTGGCTCTCATGAGGACCGCCACAGGAATGGAAGACCCAGAGTTACCTCTGCTGCAGTGGATAAGTTCATTAGTTACCAGCCTCAGAAATTGCAGCCCAAATAAATGCTTCACAGGGTTCAAGTCACAGACATATCTCAACATCAACTGTTCAGAGGAAAATGTGTGGATCAGGCCTTCATGGTCGAATTGCTGCAAAGAAACCACTACTAAAGGACACAAATAAGAAGAAGAGACCTGCTTGGGCCAAGAAACACGAGCAATGGACATTAGACCGGTGGAAATCTGTCCTTTGGTCTGGAGTCCAAATTGGAGATCTTTGGTTCCAACCGCCGTGTCTTTGTGAAATGCGGTGTGGGTGAACGGATGATCTCTGCATGTGTAGTTCCCACCGTAAAGCATGGAGGAGGAGGTGTTATGGTGTGCTTTGCTGGTGACACTGTCTGTGATTTATTTAGAATTCAAGGCACACTTAACCAGCATGGCTACCACAGCATTCTGCAGCGATACACCATCCCATCTGGTTTGGGATTAGTGGGACTATCATTTGTTTTTCAACAGGACAATGACCCAACACACCTCCAGGCTGTGTAAGGGCTATTTTACCAAGAAACAGAGTGATGGAGTGCTGCATCAGATGACCTGGTATCCACAATCCCCCGACCTCAACCCAATTGAGATGGTTGTGGATGAGTCGGATGGCAGTGTAAAGGAAAAGCAGCCAACAAGTGCTCAGCATATGTGGGAACTCCTCAAGACTGTTGGAAAAGCATTCCAGGTGAAGCTGGTTGAGAGAATGCCAAGAGTGTGCAAAGCTGTCATCAAGGCAAAGGGTGGCTATTTGAAGAATCTCAGATATAAAATATATTTTGATTTGTTCAACACTTTTTTGGTTACTATATGATTCCATATGTGTTATTTCATAGTTTTGATGTCTTCACTATTATTATACAATGTAGAAAATAGTAAAAATAAAGAAAAAAGCCTTGAATGAGTAGGTGTGTCCAAACTTTTGATTGTTACTGCATGTTAGTAGAAAATATATTTTATTAACAAAAGCTAAACACACATGTTTGCTTTACATAACTTTTTTTTGTGTGTGCAGTTTTACAGATAATTTAGTGCAATTCTACACAATGTGCCATGGGGTGGTGACACATTCTTGCAGTTTTAAAGCTAATTTCCTACAATTCTACACATTTTACCATGAATTTTGCCATGTTAATATGATCTCTGAGTCAGAGTTACTAACAAAATCAATGGGTGCCCCTGGAGGTCAAGGCCAGGTTGCATAAAACATCTATAGGTTTTCCCTTAAGGAATAATTGTACCTTACCTAAGGGAATTGTTTAAGGGTGTTGAATAGAGCCCCTCAAATATTTCCTTAGTAAGGGCATACTTAAGGGGTTTTACGGTAGTTTGAAGGCATGTATGGCAGAAAGAGTATATGGTTACCATGGAGATGGCCTGGTTCACTGATTAAATGTCTCCTCAAAGTGATCACTTTTATTTAGGGAGATAGCAAAATATAACTTCTACAATCAAGACAGGATAATAAACCACATTTCTTGTAGTTACTTTTATCTCAACTTGTTTATATTACTTTCTAGTATGTCAAGCTAGTTTACAGAGTAGCTAGCTAACTAGCCAGCTAGCTTTGTAGCCATGAATTGTGCACCTTCCATTGTTTAGTTAAATAGATAGCTGGTTGATGTTTTCCTTTTGTAACCAGAGCAGACGAAAGACACATTCACCTTCACAACTGCTGTTTACATTTATATTCATACTGAATTAAGCAGTTAAGGGACCTCATGGCCACCCTTAACGTTTTCACTTAATTTAAGGGGGAAATTCACCTAAAAAATGTTTTGTGCAACTGACTTAAAGTTAAGGAGACTTTAAGGGAAAATATATGGGGGAAATTAACTGAAGGTGTTTTATGCAACCGTGCCCAGGACCCCTGGGAACGTGCCTTGCGTGCCTGGTGGGTAATTCGGTACTACAACTGTAGACTAACTAGACTAATTTACAAATCTATGTAAATTACTGACATGGGCTAATTGAGTGACATATAACAAGAGGAAAACTGCTGATACCATTTCTTTGCGCAGCACAGCGAGCGCTGCGTCCAGACTTGCAGGCTTGCTGCGGCCAAGAGAGTCGCTCACTCTAGACTTGCTGATGTCGGCTTGAATGCGTGTCCGTTTACTGTATACTTTTTCGATGTCTCTCCATGAGCCGCCACTGGAGTTCAAGATGCCGCTGAGGCCTTTTGGCAAAGGGGGTAGTCCTTCGATTGAAGAGACGCTCCCTGGACATTCAGGACTGGACTGGAACCCGTTCATTTTTTTCAACGTATCTTTGACAAAGAAAAAACCTTGCCGCGCGTTTTATTATATAGCCTAATAACTGCCAAAAATATTAAATTATAAAGAAAATACTGAATTCAATAATGGAAGCACACAATCACGTATTTGATTTCAAAATAGTAGTCTTCGTTATTGATTGCCTCAGATCAGCGTTTTACTTCAACCGATAATGAGCGTTTAGTTATAACAGAATATGTTGCACATGTACAGAGGGAAAAGGTCTACCGCAACATTGTTTCAATAAAAAACGTCACTTCACCTTCACGCCTATTATTGTAATTCCAACGAATCCTCAATAGTACAATAGAGGCGCCGTGCACACAGCATCCATTGTTGTGTGGTTGAACAATTACTTTGACAATGAAAACATTAACGTATGTTTAAAAAAAGCTGTTACCAAGATTAATTCATTCCTCATTTCCTTGCTTTTTTCCCACAACGCTTTCCTTTGTCTCAACTGACAACCTCGCCCCTCGATATATCCCCGCCCCATCCCACTTCAATCTCAGCGAGGCCGAGGCGCTACACCGCTGTCAAAATCACGCACTATATTTGGGGATAGAGGAAACAGTAGTAGGACGTCCTTAGGAACAATAATGCTGAGGAAGTAAACTATCCTATGTTGATGCCAGTGTTTTATTTAATTATAGAAATACCAAATTCTGCACCTTTACCCATTCCTAAATGCCTTTATACATAAAGACAAAAAACACTTAGAAAACCCTCAATCGTGCTATTCATAAATACTGAATATTCGAATATTGTATTTATACTATAGCTACTTTAGCTCAAATTCTACTCTATTCCAGTTTTTCCAATTATACAAACATACATTGAAATTCGTCCAGTAGCCTACTACCTTAAAGTTATAATTATGACACTAAAAACATCCCAGCTGCTTCATCACATAACAAGGCAACTCTCACTACTACCACATTCCAGAATATTAAGGATGTCATCTCGTATAAATAGATTGCTACTGTATCTACAACGCTATACAATTACATTACATGGATAATTGTTTTAAAATTAAGTAATAACCACAGAAAGTATGAATAATGTGGATAAATTCAGATTTTATAAACAATTGACATACATTAATACCAACCAGTCAAACACCATTAAACTATATTTAGTTCAAGATATTCGACCACTCAGAAGTGCCCATTCTCATCATGCAAGTTTGTGTCAACTTTACCCTGAATCCACAGAGAACTGCAAATAGAAAGTAACAGCAATGTATAAACAAAATGTAACTACAGGTCAGGCTCTCAAAATGCAAATTATGCATACACAGACAGTTGTCCAAGTTTATTACAATAACCTTTACTAGCAGAGGCGAAGCAGCTTCAATTTGCCACAAAAACCTTTGCAAGGGAAACAAGCTGCTATAACTTCCGGTGTTGCTTATGTGAGTGTGTGTTTATGCCTTGTTTCTGTTTTTTTTAGAATTGCCATCAGTTCAGTCTCATGATTGGTGAAGCTCTTTCAGGCTGCGCAGTGACTCTGCGCAGCTGCGGATCAAGCCGCACAGCTGGATACTGGCCTCTACTGAGGCTGAGTGCTGGAGCTCCTGTGTGGCCCACCGCAGCTTGTGCAGCACTGCTTCCTCAGCACTGGATAGGGCTGGGTGAGGTGCCAGGGCTACTAGGGGGGCTGGCACCTGGACTGGCTGGATGGAGGGGGTGGACGGAGGGAGGAAGCTGGGGGTCACGGTGGGTGCAGGGGAGGGGTTGGCTGGTGGAGGTAGGGGTCCTCTCAGTCCTGACGCAGCCCCCTCACAGTGCTCTGGTCTGGGCTGCCCAGTGATGGAGAGGGGGACATCGCTGGAGGGTGCTTCATTGGCCTGAGGGACAGGCTGAGAGGCCAGCTGTCTCTCTCGGACCTGTGACAGGGCAGCTTGGGCATTCAGGGCTGAGTGTGAGAGGAAAGTAACAGGAAAGAGAAGGATATGAGAGAAGAAGAAAGTTTAGTTGGAGAAAAAAAAAAGTTCAGTTGCAAACCGAGTCATAAGTTACAGTGCCTTGCAAAAGTATTCATCCCCCTTGGCATTTTTCCTATTTTGTTGCATTACAACCTGTAGTTTAAATGGATTTTTATTTGGATTTCATGTAATGGACAAATTCAAAATAATAAATAACGGAAAAGTGGTGCGTGCATTTGACTACACATCCACATCGCTCCGGCCAAACGCCACGCCCACTAGTGTTTCTTCTCCACGATCAGTCTGTATTTGCTTTCCCCACTGACGTCTTGTAGAATTCGAACACATTCTGACTGTTTCTGATTGGACCCAGAAACCGATAGGTTGGGCCAGAGCAACACCCCTCATTTTGACATCAACACAAACGACTTCTAGGATGGCAGTTTCAGACAATGTATGGAGCGAGCAACAGAGCAGTGGAATTCAATTCAGGATGAGTCGTCAGGCAACCCTTTCCCTAGTCATTCTGGAAATGATCTTAGCCCTGCACAGACTCTTACCTGGGTTGTCCTTGTCTACATCAGAGTCCAGCTCCTGACATGCAACACAGTAGTTCTTCTTCTGCTTGTCCTGAAGGAGAATCGTCTGGAGAGGCACAAAATACACATTCTTCAACACAAGACCTAATGTCATACCCCTCATTAGTAAAGCTACTTAGACGCTGACTAAAACTTCCAGACAAGATCAATCAATCTCTTTAGCATTACAGAATACATATATTTAGCTAGATCTCACTATAATTAATGTTAGTTAACAGGGTCAAATATATTGACTGCGTTGGTCTGGATTATCCCCCACTCACCCCACATTGCTCGCAGCATTCTCCTAACATCTTGTAGCCTTTGAGGAGGTAGGCGCCCATGAGCTTGCTTATCTTGTCCTGTCGTTCCCGCTGAGCATGAATAACCTTCATCTCAGATTCTGAAGGGGGTGTCCACTCGAAGTCATCGTCATCTGACAGGGCAACCATGGTGGGTGAGAGGAGTAAACCGACATTAAAGTTACCAGAACTCAGTCATATGGACACTGCTGGCTGGCTAGCTGTTTTTAGCAACGCGTGTGTATGAATTGCTTTCAATTGTATTGACATGAGGTAAGCAGAGAGGAAGTGGGTCTACAACAAACCCACGTTTGGAAAATCTGTTTAATAATACCATCCTTTATATATTGTCTCAAATTTCCCCCAATATAATGACCAACCGCCCTGCCCACCCGCACAGTAGCTAAGTTGAAACGGAATTGTATTTAACTTCTGGCTTCAAGCGGACTGTTTTTGTGCAATCCAATACAATTGAAAGCAACGCTAGAGTATCTAAATACACCCGCGTTACTAAAGCAGCTACAGTAGTACTGGCTGGCTTGCTCATCACGCAACTAGCTAAATTAGCTTGTCGATTTCAGTTAACCTAGCTAATGTTAGCTGCTGATAATCTAACTTTAGATAAGTGAGCTAACTAGCTAGTTAGCAAGCAAGTATCATGCGACGTCAGTTTGTGCTAACTGAACTGGAGACACCGGTAGACCAAAACATCTAGCTAGCAAGCTAATTAGCCAGCTAGCTAACGTTAGCTGGCTAAGCTAACCAAGCTAGCTGTCAAACTGGGCTTTCAGGCAAAACTTTAATTCCCCAAAACGTCGGAGTCTGCCATTCTGAAAGACAACTAGCAAAATAAACTTGTGAGAAAGCCAACCAAAATAAAACATGAGCATTTAAGAAAAGCAGTTGGTTTATTTACCTGCATTCAGTGCCATAATTCCACTGCTATACCTGGTTGCTGCACGCCGTTTCTTTCCTAAAAAAACGTAGTACACATGCGTGCACTGACTAAGTTTGAGGTGTCCGCTACCGCCACCTTTCGTACTGGAAGAATACAGCTAGTTCAGAAACTGAAGCTACCGCCATTGAGATAAGCAAAATTAGTTACGTAAAAGAGAAAATACATTTATTTTCTGCATAGAGAAATACCGATTTTTTATATTATTTTCAGCTCTTAAAGACACACCACCCCACCACCCCTTCCCTAATTGGAGTAAACTAGTGAACAACAATGCTTAGGCCTCTACTTCCAGCGTTTACATACTATATACATTTTATGGACACAGTCAATTTTACAATCATTCTATTTTGTTTGTTTTTACTCCTGAACTTCCTCCACCCTCAACCTCTCCGATAATTTTCATGATGTCCATCTGGTTTGCTTCTATATGCCATATCTTTCTAACTGTGCTCTTTCACAAAAGCTCTCAACCTATAACCTATATACTTATTATGGACACAGTATGCTTTACATTAGTTATCTTGTTGTTATTAGTTGTTGTTAGTAGTTATTAGTCCCTTGATTTGCATACTACTACTACTGCCTTTTGAGCTCCAAACATAATTTATTATTATTGAGTATAGGCAGATAAGTTATAAAACCAGTCTCTGAAGATTGTAATTCCTCAATGTAGGAACAATACATAGGGAGGAAATAGTATTTTTCTGGTCCATACACATTTTTGCAAGAATGAAATAAATGCAATGGTATCGAACATATGGAAACCACGTTTGACTGTGTTCCATTTATTCCATTCTAGCCATTACAATGAGCCTGTCCTCCTATAGCTCTTCCCACCAGCCTCCTCTGTTCAAAATGAACTTATCCTCTGCAGCAGAGGGACTCTGGGTCTTCCATTCCTGTGGCGGTCCTCATGAGAGCCAGTTTCATCATATCGCTTGATGGTTTTTGCGACTGCACTTGAAGAAACGTTCAAAGTTCTTGAAATGTTCCGTATTGACTGAATTTCATGTCTTAAAGTAATGATGGACTGTCGTTTCTCTTTGTTGTTCTTGCCATAATATGGACTTGGTTTTACCAAATAGGACTATATTCTGTAATTCCCGAAGTTGTCCCTATATTAGGCCTGCGAGAAGAAGAGACACAAATAGAATATGACGTCCATCTAAACTGGATGAGAAAATGCTTGTGGCACTGACTCAACAACTTAAAATAATGCGCACTCACCGGAGATATGGCCGATGCTCTCCGCTGGTGCCAATAAGAAAGGCTATACTGTTGTTTGCTCAATTAAGTTAAGCATTTTGAAAACTAAAAAACAGATGAGAGTCTTTTCATTGTCTTATCTTTACAGCAATAGCCATTTGCTTTCCAAACTATGTTTTCCTGTGATTGTATTTAGAAATATTGGCTAGGCCTCTCTACTTTTCACTGACAGTCACTACTCAACAATCATCTGTTTGGTATTTGCCGTGCTTGCTGACGTTAGGCAATGCGATTTAAAACAATCTACAACTTATACTTTTTAAAGAAGCTAATGATTCTTTAGTAGCCTTTTTAAAAATGATTTTATTTATTTCTGTATAGACAGTTGTAGGCTAATTAGGCTATATAATTTTGGCAATTTAATTCAATTTACTTTAGAAAAAGCTTAGCTTAGCTTCCCCTATAGCCTTATGGACGCATATCCTATGGGTCAGCCTGTCTACCAGCTGTCAGTCTTTTGGGATAAGTCTATAAGAGCTTTGCACACCTGAATTGTGCAATTATTCAAGCTCTGTCAAGTTGGTTGTTGGTCATTGCTAGACAGCCATTTTGTCTTGCCATAGATTTATTAGCAGATTTACATCAAAACTTTAACTACACCACTCAGGAACATTCACTGTCTCCTTGATAAGCAACTCCAGTGTAGATTTGACCTTGTGTCCTGCTGAAAGTTGAATTTGCCTCCCAGTTTCGGGTGGAAAGCAGACTGAACCAGGTTTTCCTCCAATATTTTGCCTGTGGCTAGCTCCATCCCGTTTATTTTTATCATGAAAAACTCCCCAGTCCTTGCCGATGACAAGCATACCCATAACATGATGCAGCAACCACCATGCTTGAAACTATGGAGAGTGGTACTTAGTGATGTGTTGTGTTGGATTTTCCCCAAACATAACACTTTGTATTCAGGACAAAACGTTAATTCCTTTGCCACATTTTCTTCAATATTACTTCAATGCTTTGTTGCAAACAGGATGCATGTTTTGGAATATATTCTGTACAGGCTTGTTTTAACTCTGTCATATAGGTTAGTATTATGGAGTAACTACAATGTTGTTGATCCATCCTCAGTTTTCTCCTGTCACAGCCATTAAACTCTGTAACTGTTTTAAAATCCCCATTGGCCTAATGGTGAAATCCCTGAGTGGTTTCTTTCCTCTCCGGCAACTCAGTTATGAAGGAATGGGATGCCTGTATCTTTGCATTGAGTAGTGACTTGGTGTATTGATACACCATCTAAAGCCAGTTAATAACTTTCCCATGCTCAAAGGGATATTCATTGTCTGCTTTCTTTTTCTTTTTACCCATCTACCAATAGGTGCCCTTCTTTGTGAGGCATTGAGAAGGCTGCTTGCATTACTCGGCTGAGGGACCTTACAAATAATTGTATGTATGGGGTAGTCATTCATAAACCATTTTAACCCCTATTATTGCACACAGAGTGAGTCCATGCAACTTATGTGATTTGTTAAGCACACTTTTACTCCTGAACTTATTTAGGCTTGCCATAACAAAGGGGGTGAATAAATACACTCACCTCCATATTGTTTTAAGAAGGTCATCCAAGGATCATTAAGCTATTTGATTTAGAATTTTAAGACCTCTTAAAATATAAAAAAATATAACGTTTTTTTTATTTTTATGAAAGTTTTAATTTGGCCTTACTCCTGGCTCCCCTACCTCTGCGGAAGCATAGTTCCCGCTCAGCCCAGTCAAAACTGTTCGCTGCCCTGGCACCCCAATGGTGGAACAAGCTCCCTCACGACGCCAGGACAGCGGAGTCACTCACCACCTTCCGGAGACATTTGAAACCCCACCTCTTTAAGGAATACCTGTGAAGTAATCCTTCATGCACCTATTTGTAAGTCGCTCTGGATAAGAGCGTCTGCTAAATGACGTAAATGTAATGTAAATGTATTAGCCCATACAGTGAGGGAAAAAAGTATTTGATCCCCTGCTGAATTTGTACGTTTGCCCACTGACAAAGACATGATCAGTCTATAATTTTAATGGTAGGTTTATTTGAACAGTGAGAGACAGAATAACAACAAAAAAATCCAGAAAAAAACGTATGTCGAAAATGTTATAAATTGATTTGCATTTTAATGAGGGAAATACGTTTTTGACCCCTCTGCAAAACATGACTTAGTACTTGGTGGCAAAACCCTTGTTGGCAATCACAGAGGTCAGACGTTTCTTGTAGTTGGCCACCAGGTTTGCACACATCTCAGGAGGGATTTTGTTCCACTCCTCTTTGCAGATCTTCAGTCATTAAGGTTGGAATAAGATCTGGTGCCACCAATTACCTTCAGAAGTCACATAATTAGTTAAATAAAGTCCACCTGTGTGCAATCAAAGTGTCACATGATCTGTCACATGATCTCAGTATATATACACCTGTTCTGAAAGGCCCCAGAGTCTGCAACACCACTAAGCAAGGGGCACCACCAAGCAAGCGGCACCATGAAGACCAAGGAGATCTCCAAACAGGTCAGGGACAAAGTTGTGGAGAAGTACAGATCAAATATCCGAAACTTTGAACATCCCACAGAGCACCATTAAATCCATTATTTAAAAATTGAAAGAATATGGCACCACAACAAACCTGCCAAGAGAGGGCCGCCCACCAAAACTCACGGACCAGTCAAGGAGGGCATTAATTAGAGACACAACAAAGAGACCAAAGATAACCCTGAAGGAACTGCAAAGCTCCACAGCGGAGATTGGAGTATCTGTCCATAGGACCACTTTAAGCCGTACACTCCACAGAGCTGGGCTTTACAGAAGAGTAGCCAGAAAAAAGCCATTGCTTAAAGACAAAAGGCATGTGGGAGACTCCCCAAACATATGGAAGAAGGTACTCTGGTCAGATGAGACTAAAATTTAGCTTTTTGTCCATCAAGGAAAACGCTGTCTGGCACAAACCCAA